CCCCGCAGCCGCGGCCGCTGCCTCTTCCCACACCCACATGCCGCCCGGGAGGGGATGTGGTGCCTTCTCACACCTTTATGTATAGCAGGGACCTTGATGACCCAAATCCTTCTTTAGCGCGCCTTCAGCTTCCTCTCAAAGCAGATGTAACATAGAATTTATTTTTTTTTCTGTTCCTATCTCTCAGGTTCTGGAAAAAAAAAAAATCCAGTATCTGAGCCTGTCACCTTCTCTCACTCGAAGTTTGGTATCTTTCTATAGAATTTATTTTTTTTTCTGTTCCTATCTCTCAGGTTCTGGAAAAAAAAAAAAAATCCAGTACCTGAGCCTGTCCTTCTCTCACTCGAAGTTTGGTATCTTTCTCCTTCCTCTTCTTGCCACCAGGGTCTTTTCTGTGCTCTTGACACCCCAGTTATTTCTCTTAAATATTTGTTTTCCTTTGGGAGCCATTCTGCCCTAAACGTATCCTTTGTGTCCTTTTTAGCCCTCCCTTCCATGAACTTAAGACATTCCATCTTGAAACAATTTCCTCTCCCCACTGCAGCAAAATGGGAAGGACATCTTAAGAGTCTTTCCTCTGATAGTTAGAACCAGTCTCCCAGTGCATCAGATGCATTTATTCATATTCCATTTATATCCGTTATATTGTAACAATATTTTTCACGGCTTTAATTCCCCCTTTTTATTCACCTTCCATAGTTGTGTTGATCCCATCTGCTTTCAAATGCAGGCCCCACTCTTAAAATCTTTCATGAGATCCATTCTGCTTGTGTAAGACTCCACTCTGTACCTGACCAGCTTAAATTAATCATTCCTGAACATGAAAGTGATTGGAATTCACACAGTATTTCACTTTAATCCTTTCAGTCCACTGGACAATGGTGTTAATTATAAATGGAAAACATTTCCATCCTATGTACCAGCCTTTTCCAGCCATGTCCATTATCATCTTCTGACCAGTGTCACTTGCACACTTAATGTAATTTATCTTCCTTTTACATCAAATTCTAAAGAGTTTATTAGCAGAACTGATTCCAAAACTGGCCCAGAGGACCAAAAGCATCTTTATCCTACTCATTCCCATTTCAGAGTAAGGCAACACAACCCTGGGACCAGCTTCTCACAGCTCTTGTTAATTAACATTGCACACACATGTGTTGGGTACTGTGAGCAGCCCCAGGGTCACTTGTTTCACCCAAGGAACAGCTCAAAGAGAGAAAAGAGAAGTGATAAAAGCCTGGCACGGCTTTGTACCTGTGTCTGTAGAGTGAGAGATGTCTGAACTAGGAAAAAAATGAAGGAAATGAGATAAATGGAACAACATAAAAGGATGAGAGGATCCGTAGGGGCTGACTGGTCACTGCTCAGTCCAGTGGGAGAGGCAGGAGGATGTGGTTCTCTGCACAGAGGAGCCACGTGCTGGATCCATGGATGCCAAACACTTGGGAAGGTTACAGGGCTGCACTAGACTTGAGAGCTCCACATAGAAATGTCCTGTGTGCCAGAAGACACCGTGGCACAAATTGTAGGAAACTGGAAGAGGTGAAAAGATTGTAATTTTCTTCCATAAAGCAAGTTGTTATGACTCAAAAGTCTCGAGTTGGTGAATTTCATAGAATTTATTTTATTGCCAACTAACATAAACTTTCAATTACTGATTCCAGTGTTGAGAAATAAAGAAGACAAACAACTAAACAAACACTTAGATTGCTTAATATAAACCAGGAAATGTGTTTGCACTATCAGGTTTTAATACCTCTTGAATTAATTCCTACAACATCTGATTTTGCTGGTCGATTCAGCTAAGTAGCACCTTTTTAATGTAACATTCTATATATCTTTTCAGATCCATGCCCAAATTATTTCCTCTGCTAAAACCTTCCTTTTGAAAATAATCATTTGTAGGTATTTGCTCTGTTTGACTTAGCTGCCTTCTCAGGGAATTGGCACTTTCACTTGTGTATCAGGGAGTTCTCTGCTTGGTATCAATATTAATAGAACTTCAAGGGTTCTCCATCTGCCAGGAACAGGCAATAGAATTTTAAAAGTAGGGGAAAAAATGTGGTGGTATCTAGAGAAGCTTAATTAGAATTTTAAAAGATGTTGCAAGTGCTTTACTCAGAATGCTTCAGAAACCTTGCCCAGGAGTGTGCTTGGGAATGGCTGTGGAACAGGCTGGGTTTTCTCCTACGCAAGGACTGATTTCACGGAGTCACAGGGTGCCAGGCTGGAAGGGACCTCACAGATCATCTGGTCCAACCTCTTTAGGTACTACTCTAGGTTATATGAGGTGGCTCAGCACCTTGTCTGTCTGAGACTTATAGCTGTCCAATGTGGGGGAATCCACCACTTCCCCTGGGAGACTGTTCCAATGTTTGTCCTCAGGGTGAAAAATTTACCTCTTGTGTCCCATTGGAATCTCCCCAGGAGCAACTTGTTCCCATCACCCCTTGTCTTTTCCACGTGACTCCTTGTAAATAGGGAGTCTCCACCTTCTTGGCAGCCACCTTGAAGTACTGGAACATGGTAATAAGGTCTCCCCTGAGCCTTCTTTTCTCCAGGCTGAACAAAACCAGTTTTCTCAGCCTCTCCTCATCTGGCAGGACAAGCAACGTATCATAGTTCAAAGGCTGACATGGATTGACTCACAAGATCAATTTGTTGGGAGTTGCAACATATTTTTCACAAATGTATGAGTAAAGTAATATGGATTTACCAAAGGTTTTGTTTTAAATTTTGAATATATAAGTAAAATTGCATATAACCTTGGGCTAAAGCAACACCATTTCTTTCCTTTTTCTACCACTGAAGAAATAGCTGCAGTTTTTTTCCACTGCATCAGACACGTCCCATACTTGGGGAATTAATTAGTTGCCTTTTTACTTTTTTTTTTTT